ATTGTGAATTGACTGAAGGTTTATGGAACAGATCAGTTTTCCATTCTACAATCTAGACACATTTTGTTTCCTGGAAATGTGTGTTTTTAAAAAAGAAAGGAAAACAAAGAATTTCTAATTCCAATTTGATACGATAGGGTTTTGACTGTGCTCTTTGAAGGACGTTGAAGATCCCTTTGCCATTTGATTTGTATTTAGAATATTATTCTCTAAGGAGGTGCAGTCAGAATATGGATCCTTCAAGTCTGTTGAACAGTTGTTCCTCAGTGTGTTTTGTCAACAGACTCTGCGATTAGGCTCATTTGTTTTAGAGTGTGTATAGATTTTAGGGAGTTTTTTCCTTTTTGGCTTGTTTATTTTTTGAACATACCAACCATTTGTTTGAGTAAAAAACCATACAAAGTTTATTACGAGTTATGTTGCGACAACTGATTCCCATCTCTGTCCTCTCCCATGGTTCCTCCCTCCCTAATGATCACCATTGGTATCCGTCTTGGTTTATTTTTTCTTTTTTGTTGTTTATCTTTTCACTGAAACCTCTTGCAAATCTGTGTATATGTATGCATGTGTGTATGTGTGTATTTATGTACATATTTAAGAGAACTTCAGAAAGTTCCATGATATTTTAATTCAATTTCCTATGAACTTTTTGAAGCCCCTTGTGTGTGTATATGTTTGTATATATGTATATGTATGTGCATGCATCCATCTGTGTGTCTGCATACATGTGCGTGTGTGTATATGTATGTTCATCTGTTCATCTCTGTATCCATGTGTATGTATATGTGTATGTATGTGTATGCATAGGTGTATATTGTTTATGTGTTCCTAAGTATCTGTGCATATATGTGCTTATGTCCATGTATTCATGTACACATGTATATGTGTACTTACGTATATGTAAAAGGATTTCTGGTATGGTTCTGTAAGATAAGCATAAAAACACAAGGTTGGTTTGAACCTCAAGGTCCGTGGTTCAAAGTCATCAGCCGCTCATCAGAAACCCTATATCAGAAATGACTCAACAGCACTTAACAACAACAATATGTACATATGTATATATGCATAAGTACATGCATTCATCTGTTTGCTGGTGTTTTATATGCATACATGTATTGTGAGTGCACGCACACACATGTGCAAATGCACATGTGTACCTGTATGCCCATGTGTACCTATATGCCGCGTGTTCATGCATGTCTATGTTTGCATGGATGTGTTGCTGCATTGGTGTGCATCCATGTGCATGTCTTCAGTGTGCCTACACATGTGTATACATGTGTGTAGGTGCCAGTGTTTGTGTGCATTTGCATGCAGTTCCCTGCTCATACACAAAGGTCAGTAAACTCCATGTCCTCTCTGTACTTGCTGTGTTCACGTCCCATCCACCACAGTGGTCCCTAATGTCAGCGTGAGAAGCCCCGCCTCATTCCTTGTGATGTTGCCCTGGACTCGCTGCTCTGTGGTTCCTCCAACATTGCCATGGGTGGGCTCTTGCGTAGCTGGTGGGCCCTCTGTTGTCATGGGTGAGATTGCAGCACAGCACCCTGTGGGCAAAGTTGCTGGTGCACCCACCTGTGACTGGGTTGCTGGGCCCTTCGCCTATGGTAGGCCATCTCAGACCCCTATAGTGTCTGTGCCTGAAGGATGGAGCTACCCCCCTGGCCTCTGGCCCACCATGAGCTGGGAAGTGGCAGGTCCATACATTCTTATGTGCATTTGGCAATGCAGTAGGGTGAGCAGGCTGCTCTTCCTCACCCATGAGCTCGCTGCACCTTTGGCTTGTTTTCTCTTGGCTGTTGGCTCCAGGGTCCCTGCTCTGTGATGTACATGAGGTAGGTCTTTAGGGCCTCTCATTACATGTCGTCAGGAAGGGCTAGTCCCTGGAGAAGGATGTCATACTTAGTAAAATAGAGGGTTAGTAAAAAAGAGGGAGACCCCAATGGGATGAATTGACACAGTGGCTACAACCATGGGCTTAGACAAAGCAACAATGAGGAGGAAGGCCCAGGACCGGGCAGTGTTTTGTTCTGTTGTGCTTGGGGTCACTATGAGTCAGAACCAACTCAACAGCACCTAATAGCAACACTTATCCTTTGATTTTGCATGTGGTGTTCGTAGCAATCTGGTTATATTGGTACTGATGGAATTGAGCACTTGTGCAAATGGCTCCTAACCTAGGAAATGGTGCCCAGTCCTGGGGTCAGAATGTGGAGAGAGAGGGACTCACACTCTGAGGGACTGGTCAGGCTGCGATGAGTGGTGGAGGGGCCAGGAGGGAGGCCAGCTAGTGACCAGATACTGGATGGTGGTCACTAGCTGCAGAAAGGGCCCAGCTCTGGAAACTGCCCTCAGAGGTGGTAGACAGGACTGGGTGGGCAGCGAGTGTACAGGAGGTGAGGTTACCAGGACGAAGGACTGGGGATAGAGGAGCCAGGCCCTGCCAGAGGCAAGGGGGTCTCAGGAACCTGCAGGGGCAGTGAAATAAGGTGGTGGTGCGTGGGGTTGCACTTCTATGCAGATATCTTGCCTCGTCTCATCTGGTTTCTACACCAGCTCATTTTGCAGATGTAGATAAGACATTGAGACTCACAGAGAAAAGAGGCCAGTCACATGCCTCCCCAAGGGGGGACACCTCTGAGTGACTCCAGGGCAACCACCAAGCCAGCTCAGAGGGAAGGGGGGACCTATGCACACACACACATACACATATACACGCACATGGATACAGAGATGCACAGGTGAACACACATGCACATGTATGCATGCACATACATATACACACATATACATACATACGCATATCTACAAGCATGTGCACATACACGAGGGGCTTCAAAAATTCATAGAAAATGGAATTAAAAATCTGAAGTTCCCTTAAATATGTACATACACACATACACACATGCATATGCACACATGCATACATATACACAGATTTGCAAAAGATTTCAGTTTTTGCACTGGAGCACTGTTTTCATGTGGGGCCAAGGCATAGGGAGGGAGGAAGCCTGGGGTAGAGGGGCCAAGTGGCTAAGAACACATTCAGGATAAGCCAGGACCCTGACACCAAGGATAGGTGGCCATGGTCAGCAAAATGGCTCACAGCTGACCCCCACCCCTGGGTTCCCTGAGGCCCCACACTACTGGGCAGAGTAGGCAGCTTTTATGGCATTTTGATTCATGAGGATCTCAGTCCCTTTTGGGTTTGAATCGTCCCCAACCTGCATGGGCCATCTCAGGATTGTCAGAAACAGATTACTGTAGAGCATTCTATCAATCAGAAGAGTGAAGGGTAAGTGACATCAGTTGAGACCTTCTGAGAACACTGGTATCTGAGGGTGAGGCAGAGGGGACATGAAGTGAGAGATACATGAGGTTGAGGGTCTGGGGCAGGTGTCCTGAGTCCTCTGGTTGGTGGGCTGGACCTCACAATGGTAGCCATGAGACCTTGCATCTGCCCTGGGAGTGTGACCTGCAGAAGGGTGTGGAAAGGCAATAGCCTGTGGCCTAGGCAAGCCACATGGGCCTTGGACTGACCAAGGCCCCGGTGTAGGGTCCAGCTGTCCCTCCTCAGCTCTGAGGGGACCCTGCTAAGGGTAGAGCTCAGGAGGGGGCTGTAAGGAGACTGGGTTCAATCAGGGCCAAAGGCAGAGCTGGGGTTTACTCAGCAGGTCAGGGGACCTGCTGGTCACTCAGATCCTGACCAATCTCAAAATCAGCAGCAGAGCTGAGAACAGCTTGATGTGGTCCCCAGGTGCCCGCTGCCACCAGAGGGACCCAGGGTAGCCATGATGTTTCACCTGGGGTGGAGGTGGAAGGCTCGAGATAGATACATGAGGGACCCAGGTGTGGTCACGGACATGTGCTGCAGGATTGGGTACCGACCTCGTTCAATTGCTCTTGAGGCACTCTCTCCTCCGACCCCCACTCCCACCCCCATGCTCTGAAATCTAATTGGAGCCGCTGAGCAAACCAGGCCTCCCTTCATCCTCATGGAATTGCTCCTTTGCCCACCTGACATCCTGGCACCTAGCCGTGTGGGATCGCCCAGGCACAGGCATTTGACGGCTTTTCACCATCTTACCCTCAGTAGCAGTCTTGTAGAGAGAGCCAGGCTTTCTGGGTTTTGCAGTGCCCTGGACAGGTCACCCAGTGGCACTGCCTATATCTGACATGGTGGGCGGACATGGCTCCTCGCAGCCCTTAGGTCTTTGCTAGCTCCTCAGGGCTCCCCACTACAAACTGGAGTCCAGGTTGTAAAGGGCACCCTGCTGGCCAAGTGCAGAATGGCACATTTTCATGATTGAAAGGAAGAGCCAGGCTCCTAGGGCTCCCCCGAAATAGGGCTGCAGTCTCTGAGCCCTCTAGTCTCAGGTCCTTCCTGGTTCTGAGAACAAGTATAGTTCCTTGTCCACATTGTAGGCCCCCTCTGGGACTCCTGGTGACTATGGTCACAGGAAGGCTGCTTGGAGAAATGGAAGAATGTTGAGTTACTTGCTAAAACAAAAAAATACCAACCACCCATAAACCCCTGAAGTACTCTGGGGGCAGGGCATCCTCTGGGGTCTATGGCCTTGCCCTTCAAGCTAAGCAGATGTCCACACAGACACAAGTCACTTGGAAGCCCAGTTGGTGGTGGCAGTGGTGGCTGAGAGCATCAGGCCTTACCTGAGGGTCAGCCTCGAGGTGTCGTAGGGTGTGGCTGGCTCTGCGTCAGCTGTCCAAACGGGTCCTGGAGAGGCACACAGAGACTCAGGACAGGCACAATGAGGCCAACAGTTCTCTCCCACACAGTGCCGGCCGGATGTGGGGGTGGGGAGCCACTATGCCACCCACCTCTTCCAAGAGCATTTATCTCAGACCCAAGGTGCCCCTCAAGGCTGCAGGCACTTCATGGTTCATCAGTTCTCAGACATGTGTTTAATCTGGGTAAGAAGACGTGGCTTCTCTGGTCCAACAGCTCAAACCCACTTCTCGGCCTTCTTTGTTTCCTACAGGCCGAGTTCCAGAAACCAGAAGTCTGAATTTGGAAAAGGCTGGAGTCATTATCAGCCCTGACAGTCAAAAGATCTTAGTTGACGCCTGGGAAGCCACCTCTGTGCCCCACATTTACGCCATTGGAGATGTGGCAGAGGTAGGGATGGTGCCCAGTACTGAGGCCAGCCCAAGCCTCCTGGATTGTTCACAGCTTGCCAGCCTCTCCTCAGTCGCAGAAACCATGGGTGGGGCAGCTTCTAGGAGTCCTTAGAGTACATGTTTTGAGAGAGGACTGGGTGTTAGGCTCTGCCCTCTTGAATGTGGGTCCTTTACATAAAAAGAACTTCAAAATCAAGCTGTAATTGAGCAAAAAGAAATGATTAGCAAATTCAACTGTGAATCTAGTCAGGCCTCAACTTCCAAGTGCAGACTTTTGTTGGGCCTTAGTGATCTGGAAATGCAGCTGTTAGGACAAGTCAGAATAGACTTGATGGTAGTGGGTAGACACACAAGGGGTCACCAGTCTCCTGCTACCACCTTGCCTTAATTTACCTCTCTGAACCATGTGCATCAGCAGGGAGCAGAGCCTAGACCCCGGGGCATCTTTACTGGGTTGGGGAATGGAGGAGGTTCCACTTGGGGAAGGGGTAAGGCCTCTAACCACACAGGGTGAGGACCCACTGTCCCTGCCTCCCTCACGCTGCATGGGACTGTGGTAGCATGTCTGCCTATGCTCTACTCTACTTGTACCCCCTACGGATGTGGGGGCTGGAGGGCCTCCTGGTGAGGTTATGATGAAGACTCTGTGGAACCCCCACCTATAAGCTGAGGAGCATTCAGTCAGCCCCTTTCTCACCTCCCAGACTCCCAAGAGAATGTGAGCTGGTTAATCGGGGGTCCCTTGTGCCCCTAGTCCTTCAGGAGCAGCCAGCCTGGCCCCGGCATTCTGGTGGAGTTGCAGATGACAAGGAAGGAAGACATTTCAGCCATCTGAGGATCGTCAGGAAAGACCTGGGAGTGAGCAAGCCAGGCAGAGTAGGCCACCCTCACCACACTGCCCACCCACACCTGGCCCTCTCAGGGTAGAGCCTGGGGGAGCAGGGTAACTAATGCCTGAGGTAGTGCAGGTCCCCAAGGCCATCTAGGAGCCATGTGGACACTGACTACAGTTATCACTGGTGCTCCAGTCCCATTCCTCTTTGGCCCCTGTCCTGCTCACATCAGGTTGTTGGCTCAAGAGAGCTTCGCACATGTGGGCACAGGCCAGAGCAGGGGTTGTACAAGGCTGGGCCTTCCATTGTTTCCATTTGATATCTATTCCTAGAAATGGTGCTCACCTGTCACCCCACAGACCCCTCCTGCTAGGGTTACCCACCAGCCAGTGCCCTGGTAGGAGCCAAGTAACTGTCCCCATTCCCATCTCTCATACCTACCAGGCCTCTGGGAAAGCCAAACTTAGGAAATGGTGCTCTGGCAGGGCCTGGAAGACACTGTGTGTTAGGGAAGAGTTCAGCCAAATCCAAAACTCCCGGCCCCTCTTCTGAGCTGTGTAATTTACAACCCGCCTGGTCTAGTCAAACAGAAGGAGGTGAATGGCTTTGGGTGCCTTTGACTACTCCACAGGCGTTGCCCATATATTTGGTCACCCAGTTGCTCAGACGTTAACCTCCACAGAGCTGGATCTCTGCTTGTGAACAGTTGGGATGTGGCCCAACACAGACCCACACTCCACCCGGAGATAACGCCAGCAGTGTGTGTGTGCTTTACAGCTGTGCCTATCTGTGGATAGATGAAAACATGGCCCGCCTGCCCCTGTCACCAGCAAGTTGGAGCTCCTCCCAGACTCTGAACTCGTTACTCCAAGGTGGAACCCATTAGGGTACAGACCATGCTGCCAGAAATAATACAGCGCGTGCAAAGCATCATCTGTTAAGAAAGTCTCTCCATTCTGTTGGATTGATGATTCTGAGCAGTCAAAAGAGTTAACAGCTCACTGCCCCAGTAAAGACTGGGCGAAGTGGCATTGTGGAGCACTGTGCTGCGCCCTGTGTGCGTGGCTGCTTCCGCTGTTAGTCAGGCCCAGTGGAATGCACCGGCTGCCGGCATGGCTTTATCTTCGCTGATCTCCATTCATTTCTGGAATGCCAAACAGCATCTGCATTTCCTGCTGCAGAGGTGATTGGCAGCCAGCCCCAGGCCAACGCGCGTGCAGGAAGCCAGCAGCAATGCCACCTCCTGTTCTCCCAGTAGTACACATCCTGGGACAAGAAGGGTCTTTAGCTGAACAATGAACTACCTGATTTGAGATTTGTCGTGGACTCCAACCATGTGTCAGGAACACCCAGAAAGCTCTTGAGCCCATTTTAGCCTGGATTCCAGTTAATGCAAGCAGTGATATTAGCCTCTGACTCACGGAGACACCACACATGACAGAACGGAGCACTGCCTAATCCTGCACATTCCCCATGATCAGTTTTGAATCAGACTACTGGGGCCATAGAGTTTTCATTGACTAATGTTTGGAAATGAATCACCAGGCTTTTCTTCCTAGTCCATCTTAGTCTGGAAGTTCTGCTGAAACCTGTTTAACACACAACTACACATAAACCTCCATGTATAGACAGGGGTTCCTGGTGTGGCGATGTAGAATAAGTGCTGGACTGCTAACTACAAGATTGGTGGTTCAAACCTACCAGCTACTCCTCAGAAACCCATACAAGGTTGTACTGTAGGATCTGCACTGGACTGCTAACCACAGGGTTTGCAGTTCAAACCCACCAGCTGCTCCTTGGAAACCCTGTGCAGAGTCACTGAGTCGGAATCGACTCTATGACACTTAACACCAACATGCATGGATGGTGACTGAATATAAGGTGTGTGGCTGGGAATTGAACCGGGGTCTCCCTTAGGGGAGAAGGGTTCTACCACAGAACTAGTACTGCCCTATGATGTGAGTAGTGGCAAGATCGTTCAAGTTGAGTGGAGAGGCAACTAGCTCACTGTGGTCACCAACGCAAAGAACTGGGTCCAGAGAGAAGCTGTGATGAAGGGTTGCGGGGTGGCCCAGTGTTTTCAGAGAGTCATTTCTCTACCAGGAGGTGGATGGTAAAGAGGACTGTGTCTAACCATCTCCCTAGGGCAGATGGGGGAAGCAATGGAGTAAAGAGAAACCCACCCCAGGAGAATGTTCCTCTAGAGTGTTATGCTCCCTGTGGAAGCGATGAAGAACCCTTTGGGCAGTGGCATGAGGAACCTGCTGCCTCCTTTGCCCCTAAGAAGTCAGTCTTGTGCTCTTCCTCAAAGGGGCGGCCGGAGCTCACGCCCACAGCAATCATGGCAGGGAAGCTTCTAGCCCAGCGTCTCTTTGGTGGTTCCTCGGCCTTGATGGAATATGACAATGTGAGTACTCGGTCGCTTTTCCCAGGGAGCCCCAGAGCCAGTCAGGAAAAGGCTGTGCCGTGCCTCGTGGCTTGAGGGTGTGTGTGCATGTGTCCATGTGTGTATACTTGTGCATGTGCAGCTGGGTTTGTATCTGCAGGTATACATGTCTTCGTGTATAGGTGTGCATGTAATGTGCACAGCTATTCATATGTGTCTACACAAATATATAGGTGTGTGTACTTGTACATGGTTGTGCATGTATGTACTTCTGCATATGCAAGGAGGCTTCAAAAAGTTTGTGGAAAAATGGAATTAAAAGATAATGACAAATTTCCACAAACTTTTTGAAGCCCCCTCACATGCATGCAAATGTATACCTGTGTGTATAAACAGGTGTGCACATGTGCCAATGCATACATACACATGCTCCAGATGCATGCATGTTTTGTGTGCAACTGTGCATAAACACACATGTACAGACATGTCTGTCAGTGCTTGTGTGTGGTCGTGCACACACACATGCATGTGCGTATGTATGCGTGTGAATAGCTGGGGGATGAATGCAGAGTCCAGGGGACTTGTGGGCTGTCGATCAGCAATGTCTGGGGTCCTAAGCTGCTGCCCCTGTTCTTTGTGTTGTCAAATGGGGTCTTCAAATGTGGGGCCTGCTTTCCAGGTTCCCACGACAGTCTTCACCCCACTGGAGTATGGCTGTGTGGGGCTGTCTGAGGAAGAGGCTGTGGCTCGCCACGGACAGGAGTGTGTGGAGGTAAGTCAGCACTCCAGGCTCGGGCCTACTGAGGACACCCCACAGAGGGCTCCTTGACAGGGGCTTGGTGAGCTGGGATGCCAAGGTCTCCACTTCCCAGACAGGCAGCCAGAGGCTTTCAGGGATACGGGCTTAGCAGGGTTGGGCGTGTGAACCCAGAACAATGGCTGGGTGTAGCAGGCATGGACTTAAGGGGTGGGGACCTTGGAAAGAAAAATGAGGATGGCCAAGGCTTCGGGAAGCCTGTGGGAGGGGCCTGAGGCTCTGCTCCTCAGTTCTTAGCAGCCATTTGCCCCCTTGTTGATGGTGATGTGGAGAGGGGCCCCAGGCTGCCCTGTTCTAATCCCAAGTAGGTACCAGGAAAGAGGCCCCATTGCTCTACCACACTGTTGGTGATGCATGCTGCCCTGATTTTTGTCACGGAACGCATGGAGCCCAGGCAGCCTGGGTGACTCTGCCTCTATCATAGGGGTCCCATGTCTCGCATAGTCTAGGGAAACCTTCCGTCACCCCACTTCTGTCTGCATTCCAACCTCTGACCCCTGTGGAGGCCCTCCTGGGGTCAGACCCAGCCTGGCCACACCCTGGGACCCCTCCACCTTCCTGATACTCCCCCACAGGTCCCCCCAGCCCTCAACCAGTCCAGTAGAGGGGCCTAGTGTCTCCTTCAGGTACACACCAGAGCAAGGGGCTTTCTATCCACAACATCCACAAGGTTATTCCACAGAGTCTTCCTGCCTGTGGGCCAAGTGACTGGGTTGGGGGGCACCTACAGCCTCTTCTCCCGATGCCACATTGCGGATACTGGTGGTCTTATGGTCTTCTCTTGATCTTCTTTTGTGACCTCAGCAGCACACAGGAGAAAGCAGACCCCATGAGGACACCCTGGTGCGGGCGGGGGGTGGGGGGGGTGGGGTCTGGTGCTGCTTCTGGTGAGTCCCTGGGATCCAGGGCCTGCCCTTCCCCAAGCACCCCCATCCCCTCCATCATCAGGACGCGGCTGACAGGGCCGGGCCTCCCTCATGGCACTTGACTGGCTATTTTTGTTTGATTCATCACAAGTACGTTGGGACATATGTTCATGGCATTTTATAATGTTGTTTTATGTTTTACCATGTTGAACGGCCAAATACCCTTTGTTTGTTTTCTTTTCAATTCTTGTTTTAGTTAGAACAATATTCTCTGAAGCTCAATTAATTAATAATGACTGTGCAGCACATGTGAGGGCCCTGGCTCATTTTTTACCCTGTCGCAGCCCCAAAGATGCTGTCGAGTCCTCAGCGAGTGCTGAAAGCCTTTGTCCAGCAGCTCTGTGTGGGTCGGCCACCCCTCGCCTCACCACTCAAGTGAGGGCCCAGCTGGCCCCAGGGAGAATTTGTGGCTGCCCGCCAGCCTAGGCCAACCCTCCGCCAGGATGAGCGGGTATACCACAACTCCCAGTGGCCTGCTGACCCCAGGTCCAGTTGTCCACAGTTACCTTGTGGATGTCAGAGTACCTGTGGGCACCAGGTGAGCGCCAGCCTGCCACTGCAGTGACCTAACTGAGGGGCCTGGCTAGAGCAGAACTTGGCAGCATGTGATAGATGGATGGTGGGCCGATGGTGCTCAGCCAGCTTGGCACTGTCCTGTCCTGCTGCTGTAGTGGACAGGGGACTGTGGGCCTGGTTGCTACCCTACTGATACCTACCCAGGGGAGAGTTTGTTTCACAGACACGTGGCTCAGCCACAGGCTGCCCTCAACGTGGAAGAGAGCGACACTTTCATTCTGCAGCTAGCCCCAGCCAAGACTCCCCTCATCCCCACCCACTGCCGCCTCTTACTTGGCCCACCCATCAGCTGGGAGGGTGACTTGGGAGGCATCAAATGCCCACAGCTCTCTGTATCTTGCCCTCCAGGTCTATCATGCGTACTATAAACCACTGGAGTTCACAGTGGCTGAGCGGGATGCATCCCAATGTTACATAAAGGTGGGTGTCCTATGGTGGCAGGGGCAGCGAGGGAGTGCTTGGGAAGAAAGACAGAGGGAGGGAATGAGGTGGTCACTGAGGAATGAGGGAGACCCAGGAGGCCCCCAGAACTCACTCTTGTGGAGCCGAGAGCAGTGTGACTATCCCCTCTGTGAGATCTCAACTGGACCCTCTTGCTCGGAGCAGGGCCACACATGGGATCCTGCCAGGGTGGGGTGGGGTGGGGTGGGGTGAGGTCAGGTCTAGACACACCCCCTCCTGGTTGAGTGTGGGGCTGACATGACTCTGTGGCTTTCAGGTGGTGTGTTTGAGGGAGCCCCCGCAGCTGTTGCTTGGCTTGCACTTCCTTGGCCCCAGTGCAGGAGAAGTCACTCAAGGATTTGCTCTGGGTATCAAGTAAGTTCTAAGGCTGAGGGTCCGTGGGAAATATTGGCAGTACTACAACGGAAAATGCTTTGTGTTTTATATTGAGTTTTGGTCACATTGGACATATTTTCAGGGTTTGTTCTCTAATAAAGGAGCCCCGGTGACTCTCTGGATTAGACATTTGGCTGCTGACAGAAAAGTCTGCAGTTTAAACCCACCAGATGCTCATCCCTAAAAATTAATAGTCTCAGAAACCCTATATAGGGTCATTATGAGTTGGAATGGGCTCAGTGGCACTAGGTTTGGTTTTTGGTGCCCTGACAAGTTAGGTTTGCTTAGATCAGAGGCAGTTTCTACTCCTCTGAGCAAATGCCGCTGAGGCAGAGCCACATGGGTGTCCATCCATCTAGAACTGGCCACCCGGAGTTGAGAGAGGGCTCATGCCCCCACCAGCCCTGGGGGCCATCCTGCTCAGACCACTCAGTTTGAGTCTCTTGCACACAGCCTGAGTGACCAGGCCACTGGCTGAACCCTGAGGACAGTGACGAGCAGGGCCCAGATTAGACTCGAGCAGCTCAGGAAGGTGTATCTGGAGATGTCCATGGAGTGGCCGTGCAGCTTCCAGAGCCTGCTGTTGCCTGGAGCTCAGGCTCAGGCTGTTCGTTCGTGGCTGTGGGGTGGGTGGATTGGTTGGCATGATTAGGGGGCCATCAGAGGGCAGGAGGGGCTCAGGCACAGCTGGGTTCTACCCTGTGGGCATGGGGGAGGCTGCTTATGTGGAGGTTCTGCAGGAAGATGGCTATGACTGAGAGCGAACGTGGAGGAGAAGGCCATCCATCCTTGGGCAGGTGGAGGCAGGAGTTCTGTAGACAAGGACATGGAGACAGGCTGGGGACACCAGGAGCAGATAGAGCCACACAAGAGACTCTCAGAGGGGCCAGTAGGGCCAAAGGTCCAGGCCAGGTGCTTTGGGGTCCCTGGCCCTACCCTTAAGTAGCTTGGCCTCTTAGATGAGCTCCTTCCCCTCTTGGTTCCCACTAGACAGCCTCAGGGTCACCTGTCTTAGAGCAAAGGGCAGCTGGCTTCACCATTGGCCTCTTCACTCTTCTTTCACAGTTAGAATGGATTGTTGGGTCTAGGAAATGAGACCTAATAGAGGTTGTATCCATGGAGCATGTGTCTGTAGTTCAAATGGCAGCATTCCCCACTGCAGAATATCATCTGGCCTAGAGCTATAGTTGGGAAGTTTGGTCCAGAGTGGCCATTGGAGTCTGTCTGAAAGTACTGCCTGGACTGGATGTGGGCGTTGGGACTTTGCCCTGGGAGTGAGGAGACAGGCTGAACATACCTCCTGGGATCCTCCAAGGCCATCTCTGCCCATACCCCAGTATGCAGATGCTGTTGCTAGCACTCATGTATAGCTTCCAGGGACAAACAACAACAGCAACAAACAAATCACTTCCTTTGAGTTCTTATAGACACCTAACAATCTTATTGATAAAGGGTTTCCAAGGCTAGAAACTTTTAAGAGAGCATACTGCCCCATCTTTCTCCTGAAAGGTGGGTTTGAACCAACAACCTTGAGGTCAGCAGCCCAACACTTTACCCACTGTACCATCAGTGTTTCTGGAAAGGCCCTTTAAAATGTTATTGTTGTTGTTAAGTGTGCCGTTGAGTTGGTTCCAACTCATAGCAATCCTATATAGGGTTGGTGAATTTAAACCACCAACCTTTATCCTATAGTGCCACAACAGGACTCCCTTTAAAATGCGGTTGCCTCTTTTTTGTAATGTAACAATAGCCAAGGACTGGTTTGCTTAATATGCAAAGAGCTCTTAAAAATCAATAAGAATGTCCTAATAGAAAAAATGATGACACAAATAGGCAATTCACAGAAAAATAAAATAGAAATAAATAGTAAAAGAGTTGCTGCACATCATTCAGAATTTTACAATGTTTTTTGGAAACACCAAGAAACCAATTTGGTTGGTGAGGCTTAAAAAGTTTGGCAATGCCCCCCAAACCCCAAAACCAAACCCACTGCCACTGAGTTACTTCCAACTCAGACACTGAAATCTCCCCAGGAGTGGCTAGCAGGTTTGAACCGCTGACCTTGTGGTAGGCAGCCTGACCCACAGCACCACCAGGACTCCTTTGACAATACTTGGTTGGTGCTGAGGGCTGGAAGACATTGTCAGGAGGAGGAAAGGATGCTGGAACCACTCTCCTTCTGACTACATTTGACATACACGTGCCCTTTGTTCACACTAGGAATTCATCCACCAGATCTTCTAACACAAGTCTGTAAAGATAAATGAATTGCTGATAGTTGCAGCCTGTCTGTAATGAATGGCAAGAAACAGAGCTTGCCATCACTCGGGCCCTGTGGGGACCTGGGTGCGCCCAGCTGTAGCATCCTCACACTGTGGCTCTTAAGGAGGTGCAGAGTGTGTGGGTGGTCGTTGTGGCTGTATACAGGCATGTGCAAACATCTGGAGTTCTCCCAGGTAGCCTTGGGCAGGTGGGCTAGGGAGCCTGGGTGGGGTCCAGTACACAGGAGGCTGGGGAACCACAATCATGGGCTGCTTCTGCATGGCCCATCCTGTCCTCCTTATTGGGCAGGGATTCACCAGGCTTGTGTCTGATGCCAGTACTCACCGTGCCCCGTGCAAGAAGTGCTGGGTGCTGAGCATAAGAGAAAGCAGAGTGGGGTCAGGTAGGAGCCAGGACAGGGTGCAGCCTGAAGTGGGAAATGAGCTTGGGTGATGCTGGGAACAGCTGGAGAAGCAGGTAGAAGAAGAAGCAGCTGGAGGCAGACGAGTAGGGTGGAGGGGGGTGGGGGCCCAAGTGGCAAGCCCCACTTGTACATAGCAACTGGGCGTTTTCTCAGAGGAAGACTAGACAGCTTGACAGATGTGACAGGTGTTCCTGGCTGCTGGAACAAGCTGGGGGACAATTAGGAGACCCAGTGACGCCCATGGTCCCCCATGGACGCCACCTTCTGGAGGATTGTGGGATGTGCACTCAGCTCCCTTCCACTGACTCTGCCCCTTCATCCTGTGCACAGGTGTGGTGCCTCCTATAAGCAATTGATGCGGACAGTGGGCATCCACCCCACATGTGCTGAGGAGGTGGCCAAGCTGCATATCTCCAAGCGCTCAGGCTTGGACCCCACTGTGACAGGCTGCTGAGGATAAGCCGCCATCCCTGCCAGGGCTGGGCACACGGCACATATGCCACCACTGCCACTGCTGTTGTCTTCGCTGCCAGGCCTTGAAGAGTCCTGCATTCAGGTACGCATATGTGGAAGTCTCCATATCTACAGATGTGGGGTGTGGGGTGGGGGTGCCATGTACCACTGAGTGCTGCCCTCACTGGGCACACGGCCAAGACTGCACCTCAAACAGATGAGGTCTATGCCCAGTGTCCAGTCCACAGTGGCCAAGAAGCGAGGCTGGGTCCCGTCCTCCCTGACAGGTGAGCTCAGGACAAGCTAACACTGGGCACCATGGACTGCAGGCTGTCTCTGCCCGGGTACAGTGTGGAGCAAGGCATCAGTTTCTTTTGTCTCAGAAGGTGGAAGTACTGCCCTGACCCAGCCACTTACCTGTACATCTGGCTCTGTTACAGCTTTTCAAAAGCCAGACTGCAGGAATGGTGGCCAGAAGTCTTGGAGGGGTTTTGTTCATTTCAAACCCTCTCCTGAAGTGGGGGGAGGTGAGGTGTTGGTGAGCCCCTCCCTTCCCTTCTGTGACCAGCCACTTAATGTGTACAACTGGGACTGTCGGCCCCTCTGAGGGCCTTTGGGTGCCTCCTTCAACTGGCTGGGTGCCCTCCCTCAACTGGCTGAGGTGAGGGTTCTGGGACCACTCCCATGGAGGCTGCCTTTGATACAGAAAAACAAAGGACGTCCTGAGGAAACTCTTATCGGCAAATCCAGCCTTGCTGAGCTGTTTTGCTAAGAGCCCTGGGAAAAAAAAAAAAAAAGCTTGTTATAAATTTTTATCATTTCAAAATATTTTTATAGCAGTGCTGCACTCCCAGTGACGCACCAACCTGCTGGGGAAGGGAGGGAGGGGTGCCTGTCACGTGGCTTGGGGCATGGCAGTGAGCAGGCCACTCTCGAGGCTCACTCCACTGTGCACCTGCAGGATGACTGTGGGACTTGCCCTGACTTGGCCAACCACGGCAGAAGGTCTACTCACCCCTGGAGGCCACGCCTCTTGAAGCCGTTGTCTACACAGCCTGCCCATGTGCCCTGCAGAGATGGCCCCCTGGCCCCTTCCTGCCTGGACTAGCCCCATTGGCCCTTGGTGCCAGATGATGAAGACCTGTGCAGAAACCCACCCTGTGGGCTGCCCATGTCCGAGCCCCCTGGCGTATCTTGAGTGCAAATAAAGAGGGCTTTTTCTGATATGTGTGTGCTCTGTGTTGTCCCAGATGGGGTGGGGTGGGGACCTGAGTCTGCAGGTCCCCAGCAGCGAGGTCCATGTCAGCCAGACTCTGACCTCCTGCGGCCCCCTTACTGCCCCTGCAGCTGCCCAGTCCCCACATGGAGAAGGCTTGGTGGCAGAGCAGCTCCTGGTGACACTCCCACTGTGGCCTCGAGTCAGGCTGTGCTCAGACTAATCCCTACAGTGAGACTCACGTCAAGGGAGCACAGCCGTCAGTCACTGAGGAGACATGCTGACAGGGCTGCATTGTGCCGGGGCTTTGCGGCAGCTAATCGCGTGTCTTCCTTAAGAAAACACCACTCTGTCTGCCGGCTGGGAGCTGAGGATGGGACCCTGCTTGTCAGGGAACAAAGGAATGAATGTCTTTTCACCTTAATGGGCCGAAGGAAGCCTGGTGACGGCTGCTGTGAAGCGGGTGCGGAGTGCTCAGACGCCCAATTAAGATGCCAAGTGCGCTGGGCCCGATGCCCTCGACAAGTGCAGCGAGATCAGCCGTGTCCCATTTAACGCACGGCTGCACACCCGCTCGCAGCAGGTCCTGGAGAGGGCGTGCCGCAGAGGAGCCACCCGCTGCAGACACCAGCTGAGCTGGAACCCACAGGGGGTCCTTGCTGGCCCTGGGAGTAGCCCCTGCCTAGACCACATAGAGGAGCTTGACATGGCTCTTTTGCAATCATAAAAATAATGCCAGCTATGGTGAGAAGACTCAATACACATGGGGCAGTGCTTTGCAGTGAGGCCTTAGGCCGTAGCCCATAACAACCCACCTGACCCTATAGAACACAAATCCTATAGGACAGAGTAGAACTGCCCCATAAGGTTTCTAAGTCTCTCGATCTTTACTGAAGCAGACAGCCTCATCTTTCTCCATTGGAGCACTGGTGGGTTCAAACCGTTGACTTTCCAGTTCACAGCCCAGTACTTTACCCATTGTGCCACCAGGGATTCCCATATCTAACCAACCCCACTGCCACTGAATTGGTTCTGACCCATTAGTGACCCTATTGGACAGACTAGACATGCTACACAGGGTTTCCACAGCTGCCTCATTTTCTTCCATGGAGTGGTTGGTGGATTCAGACCACCAACTTTGCTGCTTAATTCACTAGAGCTTCTACAGTAGCTCATGCTGTTGTTAAGTACTGTCAAGTGGGTTCCCATTCAGAGTGACCCTGTATAGGGTGGGTTCCCAAGGAGCAGCTGGTGGGTTTAAACTGCTGACCCTGTGATTCATAATCCGCTGCTGATCCTACAGTGCTATACCAGGAGTTCCAAGTAGTCCCATAGTGCTGCCCAGTGTCCCCGGGAACCCATGGCCCCCTGGGGGGGGGTTGCTCTGTATGTCCCTTTTCTCCCCAAAGGGGACCTGTGACCACAAAGCCATTGGTATTGGTCAACTCTACTCACTTGGGGGAGTCTTCATTACTGGTCCATCAGCCTGCACCAGCCCTGAGGAGGGGACAGAATGTCCCCAGGTCTGCTCACTGGTCATTACCAGGCTCATAATCCTCCATGTGCTTGATGACACCCAGGCTCCACTCCCATGTGTGGCCTATGTGATTCATAGCCTCCTGTAGTGGTGTGCAGGAGCCCAACGCAAGACAGCAGCCACCCTGGGCTGCCTTCTGGACTGGCACCAGCCTGGACCAGGCCCAGGGAACCCAAGGTTACCAACACTTCCACTTGTCCCTGGGGCACCACCCACTTCCAGACAGCCATGGGGCTGAGACAAAGAACTGGATCTCTGGCAGGGCAGAACCTGCAGACAGGTTGTAGACAGGTGAATCCCATGGGCCATTGTGGGGAGGGAGGTCTCTGCTTCGGCAATGAAGGCAGGTCTCCCACCCCATGTGCACTCAGGTCCATTGAGTTCGTTTAAAGACCCTTGGGAGACTGCTCAGTGGTGTCTGTACCATGGGTTCCACCGCTGCAATTTGCCTTGGGGCTCCAGGACAAGGTGGGTGGGTGTTGCAAACAGCCCCGAAAGCTAGTAGGGTGGGGATTACTGCAGCCCTACAAGACCAGGTGCTTCCCACTTTCCTGAATGTTTTTATGGTGCAATGTAAATACGATTTTAATTCCTCCGATTGTTCTCTGTAGCCTACAATTACCTCCTAACTCCTGAGCTCTCATTGCGCAATGGCCTTGGTGGGGCAGGGAGGGAGGCAGGAGAGGAGTTGTGGCCACTCCCTGGGCCTCACACTTGATCTGAGGTGGGCAAGGTGACCCTCCCTCTGACCACCACTCACCCACCCTCCCCCAGTCCTATGAGGTGCTGTCTGTGGCCCACACAGTCCTGGCAGGGTCCCTCAGGAGAGAATGGGACTGATGGCAGAGCCAGAGAGGCTCAGACTACCCCCCACCAAGCCCACCAGGGACCCACAGCCTGACCTCCTTGCCCTGCTGACTTACCCCTCTTTTCTCACTGACGCCCAAAGTGCCCTCCTTCTTGTCCTAGTCAGAGTGCTTGTGGCAAGAGTGAGGGAGGAGTCACAGGCAAATGCAGGAGGGGAGAACACTGGAAGGAGGAAAACCAGAACCTGTATAGTAGCTGACAGGCAGGGTCACGGGGTGGGGAACACAACCCCCAGCCCTCCCCTCCCCTTCCACGGAGGTCTGGGGCCAGGGGCCAGCTCAGGCCACAGCAGAGCCTGCCTGTTCCAGAAGTATCTCTTTTGCACAGATTCCCAGTTTGAATGACGCACAAGCCTGCCTAGCAGGGAACGTGCTGGAGGGCCTGAGGCAGGCCAGGTTCCTCCTCTGGCCTCCTCTGGCCTCAGAGAAAGCCCCTCTCTACTGGCCCCAATTCACACATTGAGGTCTTCCCAATCAGAGACTAGAATATGAGGAGGGGGACAGTACTGGAAGGGTGTCCTGCCCCAGGGATCACTCTAGCAGTGCCTGGCCACGGAGCTACCTGAAATCTACCAGCCTTCTGTCCCATGATGCCCAGGGCCCCACAGGCCAGCTGTCCATTTGCCCAGGATCCTGACCCTGTCTTTCCCTCCCATTGGCTGACTAGGTGCTAGAGTTTTCTCTAGGTACTGCCCCTGGGACATGACGGAGTCCATCCTGTGGTACTTTCCAGTGCAGAGACCCCTCTGAGGTTCCCAGTCCTTGGACAGGCCGGTTTCTGTGCTCCTTGATTCTCCCCTGTCCTTTGCCCTCTCCTCCACCTTCCCCTTCCCCATTCTGGTCTGATTTCCCCTGGTGATGGTGCCTTGGAGAGGGAACCCAGTACCAGAGAGGACATTGGCCTGGGCGCCATCTTAGGTCCCGCCCATATTTTCTTCTTTTGTCTGCCTTGCCTTAAACTGGAGGCTACGAAGTCCTGGTGTGGCACTGTGGGTTAATACGCTGGATTGCAAGGTCTGTTTGAACTGCAAGGTCAGTGGTTCAAGCTCACCAGCTGCTTCTCAGAAACGTTATACAGGGTTGCTATGAGTTGGCAACAACAACAAAGTCCTGATGGATCCCTGGTGGTACTGTGAGTTAGATGTTGGACTGCTAATAGCAAGGTTAGTGGTTTGAACCCTCCACTTTGAACCTACCAGCGGCTCTGAGGGAGAAGGCTGAGGCTGTCTGCTCTAGTAAAGACTTGCCATCGAATATCCTCTTAGGGACACTATGCATCTTAATGGACTCTGACAATGAGTTGGGGTTTACGTGGCCCTGGGAGTGCCAGCAAGGGGTAGATAAATATACAGAAATTCACTGGTGCCCTAACTGGGCCTCCC